GTTGCATTGTCTTTTTGTAGTCTGTAGTAGCTGTGTAGGAGTAGGCTGGGCGCTGAGCGCCAAGTGTGAGTGTGAAGGAACTGGACTCTTGTGTTGGGAGGAGAGAGTATGCTCTCAATGAACATTGGTTTTCAGTGCTACGAACCTCCATTGGTGTAATATTGGTGCAATGCTGCTCTCTGGACACGGTGTGACTATTTGGCTTTCAATGTGATGGTGTGATCTGGAATTGTCATCTCGCTGTTACTTATTTTCCTTGCATATAGCTGATGGCTTGCACTATCACATCTGCAATGACGATGATTGCCTTTGGGTTCCAAATTATTTTGCCATAGCATTTTGGGTTCACGAAGATTTATAAGCACTTGTTAAAGACGTTCTCTTGATCTGGTATGGAGAAGGCTGAGCACGTCCACCCCAGGTGGTTGAATGGTACCCACAACTGTTATTAACCCACCAGGATGTTTCCCAGCCATTTTTCTCCTGCACGGCCCTTGAGTGATGCGAGTTTCAGGGGTCCGACTACCAGAGCTAGATGGCTGGCGCCGGTCGGTTCTTCTTTGGTGCACAGGGCGTTTCTGGGCCCGTGCGAAGAAAGGCCGATAATTACTGGTGGTTTAAACCGATGGTGAGTTCAAAGTCTGATCAAATCAGATGAATACAATATTGTACACATGGGTAGTACGCAAGTGTACTATGCAAGCATACGATTTATGTGCAACCCTTCGTACACATGGTACGTGCATCCATGCGTACTATGCTATTGTACGTGCAACACAGTTTTTTGCCCGGGTATTCCCCCCCCCCCTCCTTCCAGGTTGTTGGCCCGTACCACGTCTTAGCCTGCAACTCCAGAATGCCAAAGCTCTGTGGATCGCCCCAGTACCCTCCAAACTGACCCACTATATGCAGAAATCCCTCAAGCAGTCTTGCTGCAACGCGCATGTTCCTCAAGTTGCCTGGTTTTCATTTTGCTTATCTTTGTCTTCACTGTTAATGAATGTCGGGAAGCAGAGTTGACATGGGAGGACGTGGTTATGGCGGGGAAGGGGGGCTACCCGCAAACCCACCCCCCACTCGCGCCCCCCCTTCCCCCCTTCCTCCATTGTTTGCTTCAGCATCGAGTTTCCTAGGTCCTCTGAACGTGGACGGGGCTTTCTGAAATTACTAGAGAGAGTTCTGTGGATTGTTTTCTGCAATCACGGCATTGTGCTCTTGACAGAGTTTCTTCTTCTGTCTGCCAGTCTCGCGCATAGAGCAGGGTTGGCAGGTGGAACACCAGCAGTGGAGTTTTCAATTGCAAATATGCTTGCTGTCAGAATACCAAAGCAACAGAACGATGGTTCCATCTATACAGGGGAACCTACCGAAGGTATTGAACTTTTTGTAAGAAATGCCCTTTTTGACCGAATAGAGGAGGCTATAAGAAGTTGTCTGGGGCTGGAGGGACTCCTTCAGGGGTCTAGGGAGGGGTCTTATCTGGTGTTTTTTTTAACCAAAGAGCTGGTTTGGGACTAGGGGGGGACTTCTTGAGGGGTCTAGGGAAGGGTCAAGGTAGGTGGTCCTGTATGCACCACAAAGGTCATCAAATATAGCTGCGTCTAACTAATTTATTTTGTTGAAGGTGTGTGGACACATAGCCCACTACCCCGAATTATGCCGTAGGAACACGATCATGGATGTCATTTAGGACGGGCACATTCCTAGTGCAAATGAAGCCCCCGTACCTAGGCCATCCCCACTCTTATTCAGCTATTTGTCTGTTCAGCCTGGCGGACCAAGCCGTTGGCCTGACCCCGCAGGCCATGTGAGTATTCAGTCTTGTCCGGTACCACCGTCCGTACCAGTCTAGTCCAGTTCAGTCAGTCCGCTTGGGGTATACCCCAGCTGCAGTCTGTATTTTCAGTCATTCTTTTTTCTTTTTTCCCCTAGAAAATAGCCCTTGCATAAACCCTCTATCTCGGCGGTGGTAAGAGAACCATCAGAATTGAGGGCTTATCTGTCAGGCTGCTCCATCTATTGGTGAGGAGCGGCACCTGCTGGAAACCGGGTCCAGCGTCCCATTGATACATCTTGTAACACAGAGATTGCTGTTTGTTGTTTCCTGGGGGTGTGGTAATTTCTGTCTCAGCCCAGGGCTCCGTTCTCCAATGGAGCTGCTAGTATCACCCATCCCTTCTTGGAGCGCCCCTTACCTATCAGCCCAGCCCAGTTCAGCAGCCCCCCTGTTCGTTATTGCTGTGTCTGTCCCGTTAAACCCTTTAAACCTTATACCGTCTCACAACCCATGCATAACATGTTCGTGATCCTCGAAGCCTTAGGATCTGCAATGTGATGCAGTGCAATAGAAAGCAAATCGATAAGAAAAGACTATGCGTGTACATCCTAATCTGTCTTGTGCGTCACTGGGTGTGTGATGCAGTCCTGCGCCTTGAAGAGCGCGGCCGGCAAACAAGGCTGATGTCCAGCTGTTGTGAAGACCGGAATCTGCCTCCCATTTCCCGAGCCCCTAAGTCTCAGCAGCCATTCTTCATTTGCACAGTTTGGAGTACGTGCGTGTTGAGTCTTCGTCGGAGCTGCACTATCCCTTCCCAGCTCCATCGCCATCTCCCTCATCCTCATCTCTTCGTCTTGATCCTGACGGACCGACATCCCGGCGGGTCCGTCACACTAGCATCAGAGCAGGAACGTTCCCCACTCCCACCCACCCCACGTCGTGGACATGCAAATCCTGAACAAAGAGATTTTGTGGTATTTCTGAGCGGCTTCGGTGAAAAGTAAGGGAAAAACACGCGGAGAAGAACACCACGTGTCGGGAAAATAAGACCGTGCAGGCGGCACACAAGTGTGCACAGGAAAAACACGCGGAGAAGAACGCCACGTGTCGCGAAAAGAAGACAGTCCACGTGGCACACACGTGTGCGCGGGAAAACACGTGGAGAAGAACACCACGTGTCGGGAAAAGAAGATAGTGCAGGTGGCACGCATGCGGCAACCAAGGTCGCCGCGCGCACGCGCCCCGCTCGCGGATATATGTCAATCAAGATCCGGGAGTGCAGCTGCCAGGGTGTGAACCTCGGCAGCTGCTGGCCATACGCGTGCATAGCCAGTGCCTTGACAACCAAACTCTCAATATGGGTTGGTAGTGTGGCATGTCGGCCTTCAAAAGTGCCACGCCAGCTATTTACCCCCCCCCGTTGGCGAGCAGCGAACAGTGAGCACTACGACAGCAGAGCATGGGCTGCTATTTGTCCCCCCCCCTCTCCCTGCGGCTGCTGCTGGCTGTGCACGTGCCCATTTGCAGTGCCACGTGGCAGCTTGCTGAGGGCTTTTGAAGCCCCCACTGGCTAGGGGGCTGCAATACAGTCAAATCTGGGTGGTTGATCAGGATCTCAGCCAACCCCAGATGATTATTCATTTATTTTTCTACTGCAGCAGCAGCAGTTTGGCACCAGTTGAAGACCCCCTTGGTAGGGGGCTGCACTACTGTGGAATCTGGATGGC